TGGGGTATTTAAGGACCAGCCAGATGAGCCCCAGGAGGAGGAGGACTCCTAGTGCAAACGAAATTCTCCCTCTTTGAATTAAATAAAAATCCAGTTTGTAGCTCTAGTCAGAATAGGAGAACAAATATCCGATCATTGTCGAGCCGAAGAGAACATCTAGCTTATGATCAAATCTTATAAAATAGGATTCCTTAAATATATAATCAACTTATGATAAATAAAAATGGCTAATTAATTACCAGATTACGTCACAAGTTGGACTTGAAGCTGTTATGCTGGGGGATTAAGTGGAATAAAAGAAGTCCAAAAGAAAAAGGATTCGGATCCTCTCCACTACAAAAAAAAATGGCTAATTAATTACCAGATTACGACTAGTGTTGCTTTCTTCTTCTTCATTCCCTCGTTTTCTTCGCTTTTCTCAGATTGTTTTGCATATAAACCCCTCAAAAATCTAGCAAATGTTGTTGCAATAAGTAATGCTACATATATGTTCAAGTTTATTTTGAAATATTTATAGTAGCTTTTTTTTTCTGAAAAGGATGTATAACAAATAGTGTAAGATATTTATTCAAATTCAGCGATAAAACAATCGACACAGAAACTGTGAGGTTCTCAAACCTCTGTTGATTCCCCTAGCTTCAATTCTGGCCATGATTGAACCTGAAACACTTCAAGAAGAGAAAATTGAGATAGTTGAGAGAGAATTGAGATAGTTGAGAGAGAATTGAGGGGGAAGGTGAACAGAGACTGGAGTTTGAGGTGAAGAACAGAATCCTATTTCATTCATGAGTTTCTTTTGATTTTTACACTTCGTCATTTATACAAAACTATGAGTTACAAGACTGTGAACGTGCACCAACAGAAAACAGTTTAAGCAGTTGAGCTGGAACCTAACACTTATCACAAAGGACCCTTATTTAACAGTCTTTGCACATTTATTCCTCCACTTTGCATATTTGCCCTCCTGCTTCTCAATTCCTGTGCGTATCAGTCCTTCCTTGTATATCAGTCCATAGCTTCAAGTCTTCAGCTTCAGCTCCAGGTTCTCAGCTTCCAAGGCCCTCTGCTCAGTTGACAGGTTCCGCTTCTTCAGCTCCTGTGCCATCTTCAGTTCCTGCTCCTGACAATTCCCTCCCCTTAAATTGGACCTTGTCTCAAGGTCCATTGTAGGAAACCTCCTATAGCAATCAGAGTAGCTGAGACGGAAGAAATTGAGGCCCCATTGAAGATTTAGGCGTCTCCTCACTGATGTTGAGCTTGTGAAGGCAAAGATTGGACAGTCTGGGCGACAACGAGAAAGAAGAGAAGCCATATGACCAGTCTTTGTGTAAACAAAGAGAGCATCCACCCCCAAATTGTTCGCCATTTTTGTAGCTGAATTGCAAATCTCTTCTGAGATTTTATTCATGAAAGATGATGCCACATTCGGGAGCTTCATAGCTTCAGGACGCTTCTCTTCTCTCCACCATCGTTCAATCCTTAGGCTCACACTTCTTAAAACAGTTAAAACCATTTCTGGGTATTGTCTCATGGCAGACTCACCAGAAAGTATTAATGCATCAGCCCTTTGCCTTATAGCTTCAGAAACATCAGCAACTTCAGCTCGTGTAGGTGTAGGATACTCAATCATAGAATCCAGGAGTTGAGAAGCAACAATGACTGGCTTACTCAGCTGCCTACACATTTTAACAACCCTGTGCTGAGCTGAAGGAACCTGTTCCAATGGAACTTGAGCGCCCAAGTCTCCTCGTGCTATCATGGCTCCATCTGAAGCCTGGATGATTTCTTCTAAGTTCTTCAAGGAATCAATACTCTCGATTTTTGTGATCACTGAAATGTCACTGTCCCGACATCTAGCAGCTATGTAAAATTTGAGATGATTGATGATTTCTGCAGACTTGACAAATGAAACTGCAATGAAGTCCACACCTTCAGCAATCCCAAAGTCTATGTTCAGCCAGTCCTTAGGAGATATTGTAGGAAGCATGGCTTTGTGTTCTCGAACTAGACTACCATCTCTCCAGAAAGTAAGATTAGCCATTCCTCCATCCACGAGAAGGTCATCACCAACCTTAACATCTTCAGCAAAGCCATCATAATTGACAATGATGGTGTGGTCTGGGAGTGGTGAGCTAAAAGCTCTGACAGTAAATGTCCATATTTCACCAATGGCTAATACCCCAATATTTGAAAAGCCAAGAGTTGGTATGCCCAACTGTCTCATGAACCGAGCATCTGTTGTTGATCTTAAAATTTTAGGCTTTTGAAGTTTTCCACCAGAAGCTATGACAACTTCTTTAAGAGTAGACCACCATGAGTTAGAGTCATCTGTTGTGGTTATTAGAGAACACCCTGTAATATCCATTACTGATCCTTGCTGTATCAACTGGTATGTCAAATTCCTTGTAGCTGGTGCCCATTCTTCATCAATTCTTTTCTTTAGGAGATCAGAATCCTCTGTAGGAGGAATGTGAATATCAAATCCTGCCTCGGCTTCTGAAGGTTGCATATTCATCACAAAACCCTTCTTCCTGACAGGAATCTGAGGTGATTCAACAGGAGGATTTGAGCTAGCATCAGCGTACGCCACAAGACCACCAACCTTTTCCTCGAGCTCGGCCCTCGAGATCCCCTCAGGAGGCACCGCAGAAAAAACCTGAGCCTTCGGCGATCCATTCAAAGCGTACAACTTCGTCTTCTTAAAAATCTTCTTCTTCTTGTTTGAGATTGGCCATAGTAGATTTTTGAGCTTAGGCTTTCTCTTGCTTGAGATTGGCCATGGTCGTTTCTTGAGTTTTGGCTTTCGGTGGAGACGAGAAGATTGCGGCTTCTTCTTATCCTTTGTAGTACCCATCATCATCAACTTTTGACCGTCCTTTACACCTAAGGTCAACCAGTCTGCATCATCTTTCAACAGGCCACCCTTAAGCATGATCTTTTGCCGTTCAGGAGGTACAATGACTTTTGAAGATGCAGAGATTGTTGGAGCCATGAAATTCTTGGACATCTTTGAAGAAGAGCTTGAAGAGGATCTCGACATTTGATGCAATGGCTTCCCTTCGACGACGGCAGGGCGAGCACCGACGACATTGCCTATGTCTCCGAAGGGTCGGCGATTCTTGTCGTCTTGAGCAGCAACAATATTCTTGGCTTTTGCTTTTGGTATACCTCCACCAAAACTGTGTGATGGCTGAAATTCTCCACTGAAATCAACACGCCCTTGCGATCGAGGAGCCTGTTCCTTGCCTGAATCCTTATCTCTTGATCTTGGTGTTTCCATATCCTCTCTTGATTCTGAGCTCAAGATCCGACGATCATCCCTTGGCCCCGAGCCCAAGATTTCTTGGCCAAGATCCTTGGAACCTCTATGGATTCTTTTGGTAACATCTATTTCAGGCGATCGATTCTGGTTCCTCCATGAATGCCTCAAAGACTCCTGCAGGTTCTTGGTAGATCTCAACGGCTCACTGAAGCATTTCGTCGAACACTTTTGTTGGGTGTTCTTGAAAGAAGAAATCTGAGTTGAATTTGAAGAGACTGAGAAAGATTGAGGACACTTTTGTTGGGTGTTCTTGAAAGAAGAAATCTGAGTTGAATTTGAAGAGACTGAGAAAGATTGAGGAACCTGCTCCTTGCCGAGGTCATTGAGGTTGGAAATTTGTATGGCTAATCGACAACAACCATCATAAATGTTGCGCCCTTGTAGAGAATTCATTGCTTCCACCGCATTTTGCTGTGATTGGAATTGTATAAGAGCTTGAAAGCCAGCTGACTTCTGAAGGATGACGATCTCCTCTACAAACCCATATGGAGAAAACACTTGTTGCAACACTTCCTCCGTTATAGGATAGAGCATTGTGTGAATGGCGACGAAGAGGATTCGATTGGGTGGAGAATCCTGATTTGCACCCTTCTGAAGAACTGTGGATGGGTCTGACATCTTGTCGAGTGATTGGCTTGGATTCTTGGAGTTCCTGAGTTCTTGGACAAAAATCTGAAACTGAGAAAATAGCTCCTCCATGGCTGCCCTCAATTGATGTTGGGATCGATCAAGCCTTGATAGGGATGAATCATGCTCTGATACCAATTGTGAGGTTCTCAAACCTCTGTTGATTCCCCTAGCTTCAATTCTGGCCATGATTGAACCTGAAACACTTCAAGAAGAGAAAATTGAAATAGTTGAGAGAGAATTGAGATAGTTGAGAGAGAATTGAGGGGGAAGGTGAACAGAGACTGGAGTTTGAGGTGAAGAACAGAATCCTATTTCATTCATGAGTTTCTTTTGATTTTTACACTTCGTCATTTATACAAAACTATGAGTTACAAGACTGTGAATGTGCACCAACAGAAAACAGTTTAAGCAGTTGAGCTGGAACCTAACACTTATCACAAAGGACCCTTATTTAACAGTCTTTGCACATTTATTCCTCCACTTTGCATATTTGCCCTCCTGCTTCTCAATTCCTGTGCGTATCAGTCCTTCCTTGTATATCAGTCCATAGCTTCAAGTCTTCAGCTTCAGCTCCATGTTCTCAGCTTCCAAGGCCCTCTGCTCAGTTGACAGGTTCCGCTTCTTCAGCTCCTGTGCCATCTTCAGTTCCTGCTCCTGACAGAAACTATACAATTTCTACTTAAATGAATTAGGAAAGATTGTTTAATCGATGAGGTGACATTGATTTTTATATTTTATATTCTTCTTGAGAATTTACAATATCTATTACAACCGATTAATCCAAGTGTTTACCACATTTTTTTGACGAATAATATGTTCGCCGACCTTTTTAATTTGAAAATGTAAATTCCACTACAGTATTGTCTTCTACATCGCTATGTTTTAAGTTAAAAAAAAAGTAAAATATGTTATGTAAAATGTCGAAAAAAAGGAAAAACATGAAGAATAAATTTGACAAATAGAGAAGCACCACCCACTCAAGTGACCTATCTGAAAAAACTCCAAATATATAGAAAAACCCTCCCCAAATCCCCAAATCCCACCCCCTGTCTCTCTAAAATCCCTCATCTCTCTCTTATATAGAAAAACCCTAGACACCAACTCGGACGATCCCCATCCCTCCGCCGCCGCTGCCATCGCCGTCACCGTCGCCGTCGCCGCCTCCTCCAACGCCCATCCCCCTCCCCAGACCCTGACCCTAGCCCTCCCCATCCAGAACGCCTCCCCGAACCCAAACCCTAACCCTAGCGACAGCTGGAGCGACGGCGCCACCTCCGCCCTCATGGACGCCTGGGGCGAGCGCTACCTCCACCTCCGCCGCGACAACCTCAAGCAGCCCCACTGGCAGGAGGTCGCCGACGCCGTCTCCTCCCGCGAGAACTACACGAAAGCGTGCAAATCCATCCATGGTTATTCGGGTGGTAAATTTGGGTTGACCCGTTTATGACCCGACCCATGTAATTCAACCCATACCCATTATAAACGGATCGGGCCGGGTTGACGGGTCGGGAAAATTGCCACTTAGATCAAGAAAGCTGAAGGAAGAATAAAGAGAAGAAGAGGAATATCTTTCTCTGCGTTTCATTTCAGGTCTCTTAATTTTTTTGATGCTTGATTCTTTGTATTGTTTGCTTGTTTGATATTCTAATCTGACTAACATTATTTTCTTATCTTGAAAGTTACGCACTTGCAAGGTTTCAAGATGCCGTCGAGAAGCAAGCCTGTACAATCGGTTAGTCATCTTCAACATATATCATTATTAATGATGTCATTTCGTATGCTTTTATAATACATTAAATGTGTTTATGTTGCATATTAAATGTGTTTATATTGCATATTACAGTGTTTATGAAATCCGATATGAGACCCCAATATTTTTCGACATATCATCGATATATCCCCTTAAATAGTGTAGCCCTGTAGGCAAGAAATTTGTATCAAATTTCATGTGATGCTTACTAGCTTGGATCTGTGATTCATAACTTTTCCCTTATGGGAGAATGAGTAGATGATGAGAATGATGACTCTGTATAGGCAGTAGGTGTATCTTTTGAAAGTTAAGCCATTGCCCCCGTCATATGGGATAATTCACTAGCATTCCTAGAAGCTGCTGGATTTTGTTTTATCTTAGTCTTTTGTTGTAAATTTTTGTTGGAGATATTGTTTAAGGTTTTGTTTTGATTCCGAACTTGTGTTCTCCTGGTCTTTAAGTTAGAACCACAAACATAGTGTATTACTCTTTTTACACTACTATTTCCTGCGTATTGTGAAATAGCAAGAAGACAAGGGTTTTCCATGTGGGGCATTTTGGTCTATGCGCATGATTTTCACGTGCACAGTTTTTTAATCTTATGGTGTTAGTCGGATGGTTTTCTGAAAATCTTAAGGGCAGTTGAGTGTCATTTCTAAAGTTTAGGAGAGTTATCTAAAAATGGCTGATTTTCACGTGCACAGTTTTTTTAATCTAATGGTGTTAGTCAGATGGTTTTCTGACAATCTATATATACCATCTCTCTTCTATTTTAATTTTAAAGTCCCTCTTCCCTTACTCTCTTCCTTCCTACCTCCCTCCCATCTGCATGCCATCTCCCTCAAAATGAAGAAGTCTAATAACATCAGTAAATTACTGAAGTCTCGAGAGATTGGTTGCAGACTTTGTCGTTCATCTTTCAGATTCAAAGATATTCGATTGAAGGTTAGATATTTTAATTTTCGTGATAATACTTCATAATAAGTTCTATAAAAAACTTTTCATACAAAGTATGGTCCATTTTTAGGATATCTGTTCTTTCTTTAAATTCTAAGTGAATATATATCGATAAAGTTAATAACTTAGGTTTCATTGGATTTTCTTTTGTTCCCCTGCTCCAAGTTCTTCTACAATTGTTTACAATTCTTGAAAAATTCTTTCTTTTGTTCCCCTCCTCCAAGTTCTTTTACAATTGGTAGCAGTTTTTGAAATATTCAAGAAACTGAAAATTTCTTCCATGCATTGAAGGGAATTTTCAGAAACTTTCGTTTAGATTTTTTATCAAATAAGAAACATCTTTTAAAAAGACAGGAAATGAAACTATCTGATATAAACAGAAACACAAAAGGATGCTGATGTGAGAGAAGTTAATGTGAACATGCTTCTGTTGAACTCTTCTTATTGCTAGCTTCAGATATTTTTCTATTTGGCATTTTTTGGGTATTTCTTTTTTTTCAAAGAGGGAGCGGTTTTAATGAAATTTACCCTCTATATACATCCTTTCTTCAATTTCAATTTTAAAGTTCCTCTCTCTCTCCCCCTTCCCCTTCTCCCTCCCTTTCTCCCTCCCATCAGTTTATCATCTCCTTACTCCTCAAGAAAAAAAGAAAAAAAATGAATAAATCTAATAACATTAGTGACTTACTGAAGTCTCGAGAGATTGGCCACAGACTTTTTAGGTTGTCTTTCAGGTTCAATGACATAAGATTGCAGGTTAGGACTTTCAAATGTTCTTGATCATTAGGTTAGGACTTTCAAATGTTCTGGATCATACTTCATAATAGGTTTTCTTCTTTCTTTAAATGTGCATTATTTATCGCTTGAAAAATCAAGAAAGTGGAAATTCTTCCATCTGAGTGAATAACTTAATTTACTGAAGTTTCTTTTGCTTTCCCCGTTCAATATTCTCTTACAATAGGATTCTTGAAAATTCAATAAACTAATTTTTTTTTTCCATGTTACAGGCCAAGGATTAAAGTGAATTTTCAGAAACCTATGACATAAGGAACATCTTTTAAAAACTGGACATGTAATGTAACAATTTAATATGAATAAAAATGCAAAAATGTACTGATATTAGAAAACAAAAACTGGACATGTAATGTAACAATTTAATATGAATAAAAATGCAAAAATGTACTGATATTAGAAAACAGAATGCAAATTTGCTCCTGTTAAACATCGACAAATATATTTCTATTAGGTATTATTTCCCCCTCTTAAAATGATATCAAGAATGCCTTAGTATTGGATTTTGTTGTTGTTTCTTCCCCTTTAAATGTTGGGTCGCTTGCAAAGATGCCTTGTTTTATCTCTCTATACATTTCTCATTTGTACTTAGGAGGAAATTAAACCCTTTGCTGGAGTGATTGAGGGCAATGATCATGTGGAGGATTCTGTTTCCAAACTCTTAGTGGTGAAGAGCATCGTTTTCGCTATCTCAGGTCATGGTTATTGTGCAACTTTTGATACATGTAACTCATTTATATGTTTATATGTTCACATCTGTTTATCTTAGCATGAGCTTATGATATGTATCTCTATTGTGTTAACAGTTACAAAATCTAGGTTCTGTTTCCTTAATAATTCCCAAGACGAGAAGATTCGAAAAATATTCTACAACATTAACGACGAATCATTGCTTGTTGTAGCAGAGTATACTACCAACACAAGATGTTGGTCCTTGCCGATGATGTAAGACATATTTACACACTTTGGAATTTCTAATTCTCTTTAATTATCTATTGTGTTTTGTTTACTAGGAAATAATATTATACATTTAACTCCACATTATGTAGATAATGTAACATATTTTACTTTTTTGTTTGGTGTGATTTTGTTAACAAAGTTTCTTTAAAATGGCTTTTTGTTCATTTTATAGTATGGATTATTTTTAATGAGCTGTTGATTCAAAAATGGGGGAAGGCATATGAATATAATAATTGCTGGTTGGAATAACATACTTGCTATAACATTCTAGCACTAGCACAGAATAACTAGTAATTTCTTGAACTGTTAACAGATTATTACATCACTCTTGCCTTGTATGAAATGTGAATGTAGGGTAGGGAAATGTTGTTTACAAAACCGAATGTCCACTTATTTGAGTTCAAATAAATGGTGGCCCAAAAGTATTTTTATATCAATGAAGTTGGCATTTGCATAAGTCCCACACTTGATAATTGATATTTAATATGTATTTGTTTCACATTTACAATCTATAATCATACTCTACATACAAGGTGGAGTAAAGGTAATCTAAAAAAGGGACTATGTTGTACATTGTGCTCAACAAAGGTTTAAACCACTTGCAACATAAATTCACTTGTGTATTGTGTAAATCCACATAGTTTGTACTACATATAAAAGATGTTCGTGACATGATACCACAGTTTTATACATTGTATAACTAGTATAAAATCAGTAAATATTCTCCTTGAAGCTGCATCACAAAGGTGGAACCTTGACCGTACATTCTATTTTTCTTTACTCAATTTCTACATTTTAGTGAGTAAATGATCCCTAGTCGTGTCTTTGTATCAGACACATAAGAAGAAACTCTCATCAGGAAAGATTTGAAGTGTTCTCCTCAATACAGATCCAATATTCTCTACGTGTTCTTTGAAGCTGCTAGCAACAAAGCAGTTATATTATCAGAAGAGGTGCAAGCAATCTGTGATATTCAATTTACTTATGTAACAATTTTCTGCAATCAAGTAATTCTAATGTTCTTAGTTCTTGCAGTATTGTTAAAGTCTTTGATTTTAAGTCATATACATATATGTGTGTTAGACACCTGCAGCATTGGATTCAAACCTGAACATCTGGTAAATAAACCTACATTGTCAAAAATGTTTTTAATGTTTGTACAAATCTAAGGTTTAGAAGAACATCTGGTAAATAAACCTACATTGTCAAAAATGTTTTTAATGTTTGTACAAATCTAAGGTTTAGAAATTTCTTTACTTTTGTGCTCTATGTCAGTTCTGGGGCTATTGTTAAAATATCTCAATTCAACACCAATCTTTCTACATGTAACATAGTCTTGGGTGATAATGGGGATGAACTGGCAGAATTCACCTATGAATTACCCTTTGAAGATATAAGACTCATGATCCCTTCAACGGAGAAGGTGTTGCTCGTTGATCATCGCTGTTGTCTACACATTTTGGATGTGAGCCTTTTAAACTATCTCCTCTCTAATTTTTCATTGTTTCAATTTTAACTCACCGTTTCTTAATGCAATTAAAGAGGTGTGAAAGACAATATAGACTTGTAGTATACTTGCCTTTCACGGGATACAATTCTAATGTCGGAAAAGGACATGTTTTTAGGCCTAAGAGGGAGGGAAGTCCAAGCATGAGATACAGAACGGTCCATTCTGACAGGATTCGCTGACTACTTGGTCGTCGACTATAGGTACTTTTATTAAGAGACATTTGTCGCGGATGATATGTTTATCCTATCCCATTGCTGCCCGAAACACTATTGTAATATGTGTCGATCGGGTATATTGTGAATTTTAGGGTACCAAACTCTTCTCCTTTTCTGTCTTTATTTACTTGCTGAACTACATTCTCTCTCTTGAATGTCTGACTTTTTAGGATAACCACTAGAGAGAATGCAATTTAGCAAGAGAGAAAATGCAAGTTAGACATTCAAGAGAGAGAATGCAATTCAACAAGTAAATAAAAACAGAGGAGAAGGGTTTGGTACCCCAAAATTCGCCATATACCTAATCAGCACATATTACAACAGTGTTTCGGGCAGCAATGAGATAGGATAAAAATATCCTCCTTGACAAATGTCTCATAATAAAAGTACCTATAGTTGACGACCAAGTGGTCAGCGAATCCTGTCAGATGGACCGTTTTGAATCCTATGCTTGGACTTCCCTCCGTCTTAGGCCTAAAAACATGTCCTTTTTCAGCATTAGGATTGTATCCGTTAAAGGCAAGTATACTTCAGGTCTGTATTGTCCT